CGAGGGCCCTCCCGGTCAAATACTGTGCCGCCCGCGCCGCTCATGTAGCCCTGGCGGGCAAAGGGCTTGAAGCGTTTGCCGAAGTAGATGGGGCGGTCGGGCGCGTGGGCGGACAGCAGCCAGCGCAGGTTGTCCACAGCCACAAAGGTGTCATCATCGGCCTTGAGGAACCAGTCGGCCTGGGCCAGGTAGTGCTGGTGCACGTGCTGGAAGGCCCGGATGGTTTTCCAGTACAGCTGGTCGCGACCCTCGCGGGTGCCCAGCCCCACGGCCGGGAAGGCGGCGTCGGCCTGCGAGCTCATAAACAGCATCACGTTGCAGCGCCGTGCCCATGTGGCCCGCACGTGCCGCGCTTTGGTCTCCAGGCTCTGGGGCGTCGTCATCACCCAGCACAGGATGCGCACCTTGGAGAACAGCTCGGCCGCTGTTGTGTTGTTCTCTGGGGACACACAGAGATGCCCGCGGTGGCTTACACGGGCGCCCAGCTGGAAGCCTGCCCAACCCAGTGGCCTGCTTCCTCCCTCCCACCCCACAACAGGGCCTTGCTCATTTTCCTGGGTTTTGCCCACCATCATGTTGGGCTAGGAAGGGATTTTATCCCTTTCTTGGTGCTACAGGAGGAGATTTTTCACCTCCCGCCCCCACAAGTTTGGGGCTCTTGTGCCCATTCTGCAGCCCAGGAAAACTGAGGCAAACAGTTGGGAAGATGCCTGTAGGCCCAAAATACAACCCAGGCATCCTCTAGGCCCCCCACCCTGTGTGCATGGGTCTGGGTGGCAGGGAGGGTGGGCTCTCACCTGTGGGGTGCTCATGGACGACCCTATGGGCTAGCACAGGGAGGGACTTTAGGGTCAGCACGTTGGGGTCCAGCTGGGGCAGGAAGCTGAAGATGACAGTGAATCCAGCCACTATGCCCAAAGCCGTCCACAGCAGCTGCATGGCAGTACGGCCGGCCTGCAGAGGCAAATCCCGGCACAGGGAGCAGCTGTGTGGGGGGGGCACAATTAAGAGTCAGGAACAGCTGCTGCAAGGGTCAACCTCCCTCTCCCCCCCCAACATCAGAGACCCCCCCTCAACCCCCAAAGCAGGTGCACACACAGCGATCACCATGGAGTAACTCACTTGGGTTTACTCTGGGATGAGGGGGGAGATGCAAAGGTAGCCCCCCCCCCCCCCAAAGAGCTGCTATTGCAGCACGCAGCCACTGGGGGCAGCCAGGGTGTGGGCACATCCCATGCTTGTGGCCCACAGCTTTAGCCACATGGGCCTGGCTGGGGTGGGGGGTCTTGTTGGGGGTCAATAGAGACTGGGACCCTGACCATGGCCCCCTTCTCACCATGGCTATCTGTGAGGATGGGGGGCAGGACCTTGTGGTTCCCCAGACCGCACCTAGGGGTTGGGGGGGCTGTGGCTGGCAGAGCAGGGGGGCACCCCCCACTCCCCAGCTCCCAGACCCTGTACTGCCCCCTGACAACCCCCGCTCACCTGGCTGGTCCGTGCCCTGCTCCGTGCCTGGAGCCAGTTTCCTGGGCCCCTCCCGGAGCAGCACCTGCTCCGGCGATGTCACTGGGTGCTCCTGCCCTGCAAACCCGGCCTGGCCCCGCCTGCCTACGCACCTGGGGTGCTGGGCGGTGCTGACGCCAAAGGGCAGGCGGCAAAGGAAGGGCAAAAGGGCATTGCTTGCGGGGGGGCAGGATATGGGGTGGGGTTTGCACTTACTTATGTTGCAGGGGCCAGACAGGGCCTGAGCTGGGCCTGTTGCCCAAGTGTGTGTGTGGGGGGGGCTGCCTCAAGGAGGTGTGGGGGTCTGCACCCACCTGTGATGAAGGGGAGGGGGGTGCCCAAGTGTGCCCAGTTGCAGGTGGGGGGGAACAGGGGGGCAAGCTTGGGTGAATGGGACACAGCTGGAGGGGGTTGGGGGTGAATCCCCCTAAACCCCAGCCAGGTCTCCGAGTGGGCACAGGGGGCAGCTCTTACCCAGTGCTGACACCGTGGGGGTAGTGCCAGGGCGGGGCTGCCTGCCGGCTGTTTGCCCAGGGTGAGGCAGCCCCGGGAACACCCCTGCCGTTGCCTGCCACCACCCTGCCCCCCTGGAAGCAAGACCTGGGCTAGGGCTCAACAGGGTGATTGGGGCTGGGGGAACGGATATGCCCCCAACCCTCCTGCCCCCATCATGGAGGCACAACCAGCAGCACCCTCTGTGGCGTGGGCAGGGGCATCAAGGCAGAGGCCAAACCAGGGATCCTGAGGGGAGGGCAAAAATCCAGACACCAGGTTTATTCTTGTACCAAAGGAGCATTTATTCATAGAGACACCCCCATGGCCCCCCGCCCCCAGGGCAGGGCTGGACAGCCCCAGGTGCCACAGAGGGAACAGCCAGTGGGGCTGGGAGATGCTACAGATCAGTCTATGAAGTGCTGTGATCCACAGTGCTATCCACTTTGGTGTGGCCCATGGCAGGCCCCCTCACCCCCCATCGTGGAGGAGCTGTGGTCAAGTGGCCACTTTTGCCCCCTCCCCCCCACTTTCATCCCAGGGCAGATTCTCCCTGCAAGTCTGCCCCCCCAACCACTCTCCTTCCTTAGGAGCCACTCACCCTGGCATCCCAGCTCCCACACCTCATGGCCCAGGGGAAAAGCCCCCGCTCCACTGGGTGCCACAGCTGTGGGGGCCGCACACCAGGCTCACTTCTCCGGAGGGAGGGCAGGGGAAGGCACTGCTGCACGCCCGTGGCTCACATGCCATGGAGCTGTGCTGCCCCACTCTACCGTCTCCGGCTGCCCTTTGCCAGCTGCGTGGCATTGCCCCCATCCCAGTCCTGGAGGCGCGGGGGGGGCTGGTAGCGGGGGTGGTAAGGCACGGAGGTGGTGGGCGAAGTACTCCAGTGTGTACATCAGCTCCCCATTCACGTAGTGGAAGGACACGGCCAGGTCTGAGCAGCACTGAGGCCCCTGCGGAGAAGAGGGGATGTGGCGGGGCAGTAAAACAACAGCTCCCCCACTCCCAGCAGCCATGTCCCAGGCCAGCACCCCAGGAACCCCCCACCCAGGATCAGACCACGGCTCATCGAGCCCCCTCCTGCTGGGAGTCCATCACCATGGCCTCTGGGCTGGGGGTGTATTGTAATGGGGGGTAATGAGGGCCACAGGGAAGCCGCTGGGCAGCTACGTACCTCCACAATGGGGTAGTAGCAGTAGTTCCAGTACCAGAAGCTCTTGGGAAACTTCCCAGTAAGGTGAGACTCGGGTGGGAAGGGGTGGAAGGTCTCGCGGCCCAGTGTGTCCCGGGAGTCGCCCGCCTCTACTCCCATCTTCTCCAGGCACTGGCCCAGGGCCAGGTCCTCCACGGGGCTCGTGTGGCTGCAGACCTGGGTCTGGAAGCCGGCCACGAAGCGGCGCAGGGCCTCACGGCTCAGCACGTAGCCGGCCCCGCCGCTCATGTAGCCCTGGCGGGCAAAGGGCTTGAAGCGTTTGCCGAAGTAGATGGGGCGGTCGGGCGCGTGGGCGGACAGCAGCCAGCGCAGGCTGTCCACAGCCAC